GTTTTTCGGAGGATTTCTTTTTCTTTTTCTCTGAAGTAGGTTCCTCAGTTATGTCAGGGGTTTCAGCTTCAGCTTGTTTTTCAGAGGATTTCTTTTTCTTTTCTTTCTTTTTACTTGAAACAGATTCCTCAGTTGTTTCAATATCCATCGCTTCCTCTGATGTTTGTTTTTCAGAAGCTTTCTTTTTCTTTTCTTTCTTTTTACTTGAAACGGGTTCTTCAATTGTTTCAATTTCCATTTCTGCTTGACTTTGACTTAAAGTCTCAGTATCTGATATATGTTTTTCCGATTTTTTCTTTTTCTTTTCTTTCTTTTTGTCAGAAGTAGTGGATTCATCAATTTGCATTGGTTGTGTTTTGATTTCTTGCTTTTTGACTGGTTTCTTTCCTTCAGATTTAGATTGAGGTTCATTGTCTGTATCTTCAGATTCGTCACCCATCTCGCTGTCATCACTATCTTCAGATTCATATGCTTTTGTGCCGGATGGCCCTGCTTCCACAGGTTCATTTGCAATATCGGCATAAGGATTATATAGCGGCTTCGTTCTAATAATTAAATTGTAATAAAATTAAATGTAATAAAATTATTATAAAATTTTATGTTAAAAATAATTCGGTTTTGATTCATTAATACATACGAAATAAGTTCAAACTTTGTTTGTTTTTTTCGTTTATCAGTTTTATCAGTAATCATTGCACCAGTACCCCCTTTTTCTAAAATTCTTAATCGTGTTTCAATCATTTTACGATAATTCTGACCCATTTCTGCCATTAAATCTTTTTCATCAGCTATAGCATCAAAGCGAGTAGCTAGTGAAGACTTTGACGCAACCATACGTGCAATCTGTAATTAGACAATGAATAAACAGTTGAGCGTTAGTTTGATTCCTAAATTTATTAAAAATTCATACTATATTAATATATTACCTTTCCTTTGTTTTTAGGAGTAGCTTGACCAACCAAGCTCGCATGATATATAAGACCATATTTTGGAGTAGCATTTTTTGTTTTTAAGGCTCTAAACAGAGCTTTTTCAGCACCCAAAATTTGAACTGTACTTGATGGATGTTTTGCAAGATTTAATAAACTTCCAGCATGTGAAATCAATCTAGCACCCACTAACTCTCCAACAATAGTAGTTAAATTAGGAGCAATTGCCAGCATGCGACTTTTTAGGTAATCATAAAGTTCTGTACGGTAAGCAGTTAAACCTATTACTTGATCACAACCCATTATAATATTATTAATATCTTCATCAGAAATTTCAGTTCCCATTGATATTTCTGCCGCTTCTTTAACTTCTTTTTCCAGATCTTCAGGAAGTACATCAGAAAGATCGCATTCTTGAGCGTTGGCACGAAAACCTAAATAAAATATAGAACAAAGTATTGTAAAAATAATGTGGGACGTCAAAAAAGAAAGGAAAAAAAAAACATATATATATATACATATATATATATATACCCATGGCTTTAACTACTTTAGCATATGCAAGATTATCTACTACAATTTTTGACATTTCCGGAAAATGCCAACCATACCATTCTTTAACTCTCATAGCATAAGTATTTAATTCTTTATCTAAATCATCAAGTAACCCTATGGCTTGAATAATCATGGTATCTACTTTATCTGGAGAAAATTTAAGTTTATGTCGAGATAAAGAATGTGAAAGACCCAACGCCATTGAAGATATATCTTCAGAGTCTATTCCAGTAATCAATGAGTCAAGATTTTGACGAATTCCACGATATAGATCGACAACAATTTTTTCAGATAGAACTTGAATTCCGAGTTGTTTACTAATGCTAGTACCTAAATCATAAATTGAATGATTTTATTAGTAAATAATTTAATTTATAAAAAATATGATTTTTTAAATGATTTATATGATCAGATTACCAAGTTTTGGATCGGCTACAATTAATTTTTCTTTCCTTATTGAAGTTTCATTAATCGTTTCTTTTAAAAAACTACTCAAGTCATCAGATAATTTTCCTTCTAATACATCGTTTATTGAAGATACAGCAGACGCCATATTCTCAAATTTTCTGAAGGCTTTTAGCTTAATTCTATAAATATAAAGTATTTTAATTATGAATTTATTATAATTAAATATCAATGAAGAATAAAATATTTACGTCTCGCTAGCATTTTCTGGTGAATCGAATGCTTTCCAAACTTCTTCTGGATTTTCTAATTTTCCTTCATTTAATACTTGAAATAAAGCGTAGCCCGCTGCAGTCTCAAAAAGTACCAGCATACTTTATATAAATTTGATTCAAACGCGTAGAATCTTCGTGTTAAGGTTTAAACGCTAAAAGACTATACGAAAAAAATTTTTTTTGTATATCCGTTTTTAGTCTCGTCAATGGCTATTGGCTGCTTTTTTTCATAGATCAATCGATCCTTCTAATAGTCACTAGATGTGACTATTGACATGTGTCTTTCGCTATAGTCACATCAGATTTTGCATTAGTTATGTTACATGAGAGACGACCGTATAAAAGTTACTCGTTTGATAAATGCACCCTCTCTAAATTTCAGTCCCGAGCATATTAAGCACTTAATAAAATGCCCACCATAAATGCACACCCTCTCTAAATGCACAGTCCCAAGGGGGAGGGGGGTGCATTTATGGAGGTTGACTGTAATTTGGTGGCTCAATCACAGATTAAACGTTCAAATTTGTACGCAAGACGTTAAGGGATACGCTGATAAAAAACAATATAAATTAAAAGATTTAATAAATTCATTTTTAATTGTCGAAGCATAGCGAAAATCTGTAAGTGACTAAACTAGTGCTGTACTATTCATGTTGTCATTCAGACAACTCAGACAAATTTTGGAACAGAATATGACACCTGGATTAGGGATGTGCTTTGCGTGAGATAAACCTAGCATTTATTTTATGTATCATGTAATCTCGTGCAAGATATAACATGTGATTTAATCACACGAGGGTGGCATCAGCATCTCACGTAAAGACATAAAATTTTATTATGGTAAACTAATTTAAACTATTAATTAAAATTGGTCAGAACTATCAATATGTATAGTTTGGAACGGGTTTGTAAACTGGATGAATTTCGCAGACATTCAAAAAAAGCTCAAACACCTAAGACTAGCCTACACCAACGACCCTTTTTAAATATCACACTTATTATATCACTTTTCTTCCCATACGTCGAAATGGAATTAGAATCCACCGAGGTTGATTCCAAATATACTTACAACAAAATTTAGTGTATTCCAAATTATTTCATCGAATACGGAATTTAAGTCATTTTAAAATAAGGGTTATTCATAATTCAATGTAGAGTTTGGAACCGGTTTTATTTTTCATATTTTAAAACCAATTAAAACCGGATTTAACATATGAAAAACAAAATCTGTTCCAAACTCTGTTTCAGAGCATTGCAAGGTAATTAAATTTAAAAGCATTAAATTAAGTTTTTACATCCGTAAGTAGTGGGATGGCAATTACTCCCACAGGGTACATTCAATTTTTTATATTTACAATGATTTTTATCACGCACTTTTTTGCATTTATCTGCTTGTAAAGAGAATTGCATAATAGACATTTCTATATGAACGTTTATGAGCGTAGAAGGAATACATTCTGAAAGAAAAAAAAAGTTCTGTTTTCTTAAAGATCCATTGTGCTTTTTATACTGAACTTTTGTGTGATTCCAAAATATTGTATTCATTATATTCAGAGTCGACTCTATTAATCAATTCTGGAAACTTATGGTAATTCTAATAATGCCGGGTTTGTATCCAAGTTATATGTATCATTCTCCAAAACTTCAAGGATCTTGCAGGAGGGAGTGTCTTTCGATCATTGTACTGGATCTTGTAAAACCTTGATACAAAAATCAAAGTTTTCGCGTGTTACAAAGGTTTTACATCGACTATTGGTCGATTTGTTAAGATATTTGGAAAGCATTATGAGGTAGATTTGAATAATCTAAAGATTCGGTTATCGGATAGAGTTTTGCAAAGAAAAAGTAAAAAAAAGTAGTAAAAAATTAGTATTGTATTTTTACAGTTTATCATGACAATATGATGTAATTTATTTAATAGTATTGAATTTAACATTAACTCGCATTAAATTTATCGATTATTATGGCATCAAATTTAGAATCAACTTAAGTTGCTTTTAAAATTTCGTATCAATTTTAGCTACATTTGGAATTTCGTTTCGACCTAAGTGGATTCTAAATCCACAATAATTTCGGTTCAACGTCTCTAAAAGCACTAAAACCACACCAACATAATAAATTCCAACCAACAGCAGTAATGCGATGAAAATAACGAAATCAAACATATATCACGACAAAAATCCAATAGTATCAACATTAAAAGCACGAAATCACGGTGACAAACTTTGGTAACAACATTAAAATCACGAAATCAAAATCATGGTGACTAACTTCTTATTAACAACGGTGCTAAGATATAAGATCCCTACTAATGACGAAAATCTAGACCTTTCAACAACTGCATCAAAATTATGAAAGCTTGCAAATTGCACCAAAGAAGACACCAACAAACGACGACTTTAACGACAACAATTCAATAACGATGGCAACAAAACTGGCAAACAATAACTATTTTAAAATTCGCACTCTAGTTAGTAAAAAATAAATAAGCAAATAATAATATAAACAAAAAAAAAAACCTATCAGTCCGTATAGGTTGCAATACCACAATTTGCTACTACAAAGCAAAATTATTATTAATAAATACAAAGGTAATATATAATAAAACGATTACTTCTGCACTTTGTTCTTTACAATTTTTTTCTTAGATTTCTTTGATCTTTTAGATGTTTCAAGATCTTCTGTTAAAGAACCAACTTTTATGCCTTTTTCTTTTGAAGTTTTTTTCTTCTTAGCAGGTTTTTTTTAAAAGAATGACTAGGTTTATAACAACCCGAAGTTGTATCCTAAGTAGGTCGTATGCAATAAATAACATTGTTCAATAACATAAAATATTAACTAAGACCCGATAAACAAAAGCAAATTATTTAAAAAAGTTTTTAAAAGCCTAAAATTTAGCATCTTGTATATTAAAGTAAAAGAGCTAACTATTTAAAAAAAAGCTACCATTAGCTTTCTTAACCGCTTAGTCATTTTGCTTCCTAAAAAAATGTAAGCAATATCTCCTAAGGTATTAAGCAGTTTTTCAAATAAGAGGTCATATTTCATTCATTTTAAAAGAAATTTCACTCGCAAATTTTATATCTTTTTTGGTACCGATTTTATGATATATAACAAAATCGGTTTTTAACTGTTATCTTGATATGTTATTTCAATTTCATTTTGTAAGAATTTCAAAAAAAGCTTTTACAAAACAAAATAATTTAAAGAAAAATGAATATAAATTGATGTTTCTTAAGCTCTTTCCCGAATAATTTTTTTGAATGAATCTGAGCACCTATACTCATAGTTATAGTTGTTAGGCGAAACCCAAAAAAGGAAATTATAACAATGAAAGTCATTGTTATAATTTCCTTTTTTGGGTTTCGCCTAACAACTATATAGTAGATTCATTTTCGAAAAACAACACGAAGGGTCTCGACTTATTTCGGGTAAAAGGTTTTTAATTGTAGTGAAAAATTAATATATATAAAAAAAAAGAATTAAAAAAACATTAGGTCTAAAATACTTTTTTTTGACACGGTTATTGTTTTGATGAATGTGAAATCACGTATTTTTTGCTACCAAATATAGGTGTCGGTTTAATATATGATCTACATACTACATAAATTGCATTTTTGATATCTATATAACCTACTCACCCTAACTGCATCAAAAAGGTAATCTTAAAACTCACTCTGCTTTAACCGACCACCAAACATAGTAACTCAACCTACTCAGTCATAGGACATTTATCCAAGTTTCAAATCGCAAGATCAGGTGTAACGTAACACGATCAGAAAAATTTGCTTATATCCCAAAATTTCATCTATGAAACTGTCTTTTGCGCATTAGTTAAAAGGTTTTCTTGTAAAATTTTGCCACAATGAATGATTTTAGGTGCCAATCTAATGGCAAAATCCTAACCTTAACCTAAAAAAAAACGAACCTTTTTTGGTGGTGATTTTACCCCAGTTTGATTTTTGCCTCAGGTGATAACTGAGTTGGCCGGCATTAACTGATCGACATTAATTGGCCTAAACTATAACCCAATTCTTACCCTAACTCTAACTCTAATTTAGTCCGATCGACATCTGAGATCTGAGGCCACAGATCGGATAAAGAATAAAAAAATACTACGTATAAGTTGCACATTTATTACAATGTCAGTATCAAATTTAGAATCAGCATTAATTGCTTTTTTTAGATTTCATATCAATTTGAGTTAGATTTGGAATTCCGTTTCACCATAAGGGAGGACAGAAATCAGCTGACTTTTTAGGGGTGGGGTTTGTAATTCGATCAGGTCATATATTTTTTACAATTAAATTAAATTTAATTGGCTAATATTTCAATCAAGTGGGGTATAGTAAACAGCAATCACCTGATTTCTGTCCCTCCACTAAGTAGAATTACAGTAGATTTAGAATCTACTTATGTTGAAACCGAATTCTAAATGAAATCTAAAAGTAACTTAAGTTGATTTTAAAGTTGATACTGTAAGTTATAGTTATTGATAACGTATACATATGATATACTTAATTAAGAGAACTTTGAGGGCTTTCTCTTTTTTTAGCAACATACGTATAATTATGAATAAATCTTTATTAGCCTTAGGTCTTGCTTCGCATGGTTTCTTTTAAACTGCCTTACATTTTTTTCTTCGCATCATAATGTCAATATGGCTTTATTTATATCGTAGCATGATTAACAAATTTTCTTAATATGCTTTGCTTGGTTTATCAAACCTAGCTCTAAATTTGATATTATTACCATTTTTGTTTCAATAGTTATTGATCACATTTAGTTCTCAAAACAGGTTCTAAAATTTACATTTTGAAAATTTTTGAATTTTTGAAAACTTTTACCACCATTTTTCAATAAGTTCTATTAAAATTTTGGTTTAAATAACCTTAATTAATGGCTCACGAAGAAAAAATAATCTTAATTCTATTTACCAATTGAAAAATGGCGCAGGTCAATTCTTATATACTACTGTATTAAATTAATATTATAGGCAGAAGTTTGTCTGATTGGCTAATAAATTCAATTTAATTTTACATTATTTATACAGTTTGGAGTACTTTTTAAAAAAACGAAAACTAAACATAATGAAAAA